TGTATGGGCTATATGTAACCATGGTACCTCTGTTTACTGTGGTTGCTGGTCTCAGAACAAGAAAGTACACAATCAAGCAAGCTATCTTCGCTTTGAACTGTATTGACTCAGTTGGTGGAGAGTTGGTGGAGAGTCAGTGTGGAAGGGAACAATATTAGTTGCACTCAGACCCCATCACAGAATAGCAAGACAGACGACAATGGCTCTTTACACAGCAACTCATGATTCAAAAGCACGCTGGTACCTTTAACAATAAAGTTGAGTTCATGTAACTGGATTTCTCCCCAGTGGGGTTAAAAACAGCTTTGAAAGCACAGAAGGGGTTAAGCACTCCCAGAGTCATTGTTCTGGTCAATACCAGAGCCTCCAATGGATGCTTTAAAGTTTCTCTTTTAGAAAACAACCACCTCCACACATCTCGCATCTGTTCTGGCCCTCAGCATGAAGGATTGCAGAGATTGTTACAAAGTGGGAAGGAAATCAATTGTGCGATTCAGTCTTCAGATGTTGGGGTTTTCAAAGTACTCAGCTGGCTGCATTGTCCACCCCACATGAGAATATATTTTTATTCTTAAATACATTCTCATTATCTGGCAGCTGCAGAAAAGATCAAAGGAGAAATTTCCAAGTGACTTTTTTTTTAAAAAAGGCTAGTATTGTATAGTAGTAAGTGCTTAATGAATGCACCAAAATGACGCATTTAGGGTACAAATATAGACCCAAGACACTTGAAGGGCTTCAGAATCTGCCAGAAACCCCACTGTGCTAGCAGAACACAAGATATCCCATGGTCATTTTTACATTTTTCTTCTTTGTATTTTCTGGTTTTGTATTTCCCGCCTCTCGTACTGAGAACACATTGGATACATTGGCTATTATCACACCATAGTAGGGGCACATCTAAGAGCATAAGAATAGCCTGCTGGATCAGACCAGATCCTGTATCCACAGTGGCCAATCAAATTCCTTTCAGAAGCAGGACACAGCAGGACCTAAGTATAGGATTTCTCTGTCCAAGTTCCATTAAATTTGTGTCTTTCTGAAAACATATGTTGTACTGTGCATGTGTATAATATACACTTTGAGGCTCTAGTGGCATTTTAATGAGGGAGTAGAGGCTTAACTCGAGTCAGTTGAGGATTTAGAGTAAAGATATTGCTTCTTTTTTGGGGAAACAGTAAATGTGGAGATTTTGGGAGTATAAAGATTTGGTGCTGGCATCATGATTATCAGCTTCCAAAGCAAAACATTCCAGGTTTGGTAGCCATAGTGTTATATGACAGGACCAAAATGTCATCCAGCACTTGGCTGGCTGGGAGGCAACCCTGAAAAGGCAGGACCGAGAGGAGAAGCTCATTTTGTCTTGCAGCTCTTTGACAGAGACTCAAGTAGCTGTAGACTGTGTCCAGGATCACCCTTTCTACCTCATTCTGTTTTGAAGTAGCATATAGGAGTGCAAGTTAAGTTAATTTTAGACTCTGGACTTAAATATCTGGAGGGTCACAGTTTCCTTACCCTTAATGTAAGAACAGTGTCTTGTGTGAAGCACCACTACTGCTTACAAAAGCTTTGCATTCTTTAAAAGCAGCTTGCGGAAGTATCCTAGATAACTTTTGTCTTTACTGACTTTATTGACTGTGGGAATGCAGAACTTATTTCCCCACCAAAACAATGCTAAAAATAGTGTTCGAAATGTGCACAGAATGAAGAACAGTCTTGAAGCAGGGAAGCAAGTGTTTGAGGCCCATGTGCTTCCCCCAGATAAATGCCTTAGCTGATGCTTGACAGCTCTCCGCTGTGCTGATGTGCTGGATGCAGATCTGCGTGCACAAGATAATGCCTGAACTGAAGAGGACCTGAAGTTTTGTTACTGAAACACAATGAAAATCTTCTGCGGAATGACAGAACTTGAGGAGAGGCTTATCCCTCAGGTACAAAATACATAACACACGCACATCGTAAACAGTGTCTACGTGCTGAAATGGCTTTCCCTTCAAATGATCTATGGATAGCAGCCAGGAAAGCATCAGGCCTCTGTTATTATTTTTAAAGGGAAACCTAAGATTAACAGCTTGCACATGGTTGTCAACATATGATCACAAGAGGAGTCCTGAGTGGTGGTACCTCCGAAACCAGAATGGCGGGGGAAATTATGGAATGTACTTTTATTAGTCAAATGGACAGTGTTCCATAAACCTTCAAATGCATTTGAAGGCATTGGCAAAAAATGGAGCCCAGTAGTTGTTTTTATAAAGAACTCTGTGACACTAGTTGAATGGTTAAACCCCGATACAAGGAATAATTTTTCGGTCTGTTGTAGATGGGTTTGATCTTACAGGAAGGTGGCTTTTATATAGGGATGAATTCAACGAAGTAATTGCATGAGCAGAACGGCATTCAATTGAACAGTGGAAATTCCTCTCCTTCCCCCTGTGTGCCCTCTTCACACACCGAATCTGCTCCAGAGGGCTGAGGAGGACCCCCAGAGCAGATTTAAGAAGAGCTTGCTGGTTCAGGCCAGTAAGGCACCTCGTCCAGCATCATGTTGTCACAGCACTGAAGCAGATGTCCATGAGCAGCCAGCCAGCAAGACCCGTTCACAACTGCATTCTCCCCCTCCTGCAGTTATCAGCAACTGGCATTCAGAAACAGTGGAAGTAGAACTTAGCTTTCAGGGTCAGTAGCCTTGTCCTCCATGATTTTATCTAATTCTGTGTTAAAGCCATCCATGTTGCTGGCCATCATGGCCTCTGGTGGGAGCTAGTTCCATACTCTGTGCCCCGTGTGGTACTTTCTTTGAGGACCTGCGGTGTTGTGAAGAGGGAAAAGGGAGGGGAAGTTCTGTTGTACAGCTTTGTTAGATACAACCCGCAGAGCGTATGTTTCAACTTCTGTGTGTTTTCATACTTGTCTCAAATACAGTGGTACCTTGCTTGTCAAACTTAATCCATTCTGGGAGTCCGTTCGACTCCCGGAACTGTTCGAAAACCAAGACGCGGCTTCTGATTGGCTGCAGGAGCTTCCTGCACTCAATCGGAAGCTGCGCCGGACGTTCGGCTTCCAAAAAACATTCACAAACTCACTTCCGGGTTTGTGGCATTCGGCAGCCAATTTGTTCGGGAGCCAAGCCATTTGACAACCAAGGTACCACTGTAATTTTTTTTTTTAAAAGAGATGGATCCTTTCCCCCAGATGACTGTGCAATGCTGCCAGTATTAGGCATGTACTGCATCATTTTGAGCGTGGAGTCTGTGGTGTGCCTAAGCATAGTGGCTTCTTCACAGCTGAATAGCAGCTGCACAAAAGCAGTGCCTGCTGGCCTTTATGCTTAAGAGTCTTCCCATGGCTCAGAATTTTTTGGCTTCCTCCCCTGGGACACCATTGAACTTGAAGCTGAAGCCCCAGGGTCTTTTTAAATATCCTTCACTGCAAAAGGAGCATTATGAAACAAGAGCCACAAAACGATGTGAACTGCCAAACATCTGTATTCCCAGTAGATGCGGACTGAACGGCCACACCAGTGACAAAGCAAAAGGAATGTTTTCTTCTAGGGGTGGAAATGGCCCAGCTGCTGAGGAAACTGCCCCCCTCCCTCCAGAAGGACAGATGTATTTTTAGAATATGCCTTGAGGTGTCACTTTGATATTCTTTTCTTCTTTAAAAGAACTTCTTGGCAATGGCATAGAAATAATAAGAGCATTTTCCAGTTTTCATTCTCTAATCATCATGGAGCACAAGTCACTGAAGAGTAAGGATTCCGTTTCTGGTGAGGCAAGGGCTGGGGAGGGCAAATATTTGATTCAGAAACACAACCCAGAGAATCCTGGAGAAGTGTGAATTTTATGAGAAGGACTGCAATATTTATGTTGACCCCATCAGTAGCCCCTTGAGCGATAGTTTGCCTTGCCATTTCTATGGCTGGAATTTTTATTTATTTTTAAATCTCTGCACAGTTTCAGAAAGTCTCACTAAGAATGGTGTTGTGCAGCCTGCTTGGCTTGATGGCCTGAGTTGCCAATAGCACTGGGGCTTGATCATTTAACAAGCATCAGAGTTATAAAGCATGTACGTTCGTATTGTGAATTGATACCTCATTGGAAACCATTTATGAAATAAATAATGCCCATGGTTGACCGCAAGTTATCTATACGGCATCCTTCCTTATTATTCCTTTAGAAGGATTTTACATCAGGCTAGAGCACTTCTGCCAATCATTTTTCCAGAGTGATGAAAACGGGAGATAGAGATGGGCAAAATGGTGGGCTCTGAGAGATTGTGTAGACCAGGGGCTGCCAATGTGCAGTCCATGAGCACACACTGAAATTGGGCTGGAAAGAAGCAGTGTGCTGTATCAAATAGAATAGGTTTTTTGAGTGGCTTGTCTGTGGTGTGTTTATGTGGGGGGGGGGGGAGAGAGTGATACCCATAATCCAGTTTGCAAATGTGTCCAGAGGCCCATAAAAGTTTCTGAAACCTGGTGTGGATGCTACGGGTCATTTTTGTGAGGATGCAAATTTATTCCGGAGTGCATCTGGTGGTGGTTGTTTTTGCCTGAATTGAAGACCTGACCTAACCAAGCAGTGTTAGAAACTGAGTTATGAAAGTTAGGAGCTAAATGGCACCTTAAACCTAGGTTATGGGTGCATACTTTTTATAACAAGAATACAAAGCTGAAAATGAATGAACTACAGCTAAAATATTATGTTCATTTTTCACATGGTCTAGTCTTTCACCCACTCACCCTAAGTGGGTCTCTTCTCCAGTCTTCAGAGAGTAGCTGGAAGTGGGGAGGCAGGAAAAGGTCCTCCTTTCCTTCCACTCTGAAGTTTTAATCTGAAATCTTAAGCACAGTACTGCGCCCAGAGCTTAGAAACTGCTTGCATTAATGAAATTCACTGTTGCAAAATGTGCCTGGAACAATAGAAGTTTTGAACACTGTAACCAAGGTGTATATTGTAAAACAACTGACTTTAAAACTTTGTGTCCATTTTATCTTTTAGGAACCATCCTGATTTTTATTTTTATTTTTGTCCTTTGGAAAGACTGGTCCGCCTTGTCATCACCCTGGCTGGTTCCAGCCCAGAATGGCTTTGTGCCTTAAGCAAGTTTTCAACAAAGACAAAACCTTCCGCCCCCGGAAGAAATTTGAGCCGGGGACCCAGCGTTTTGAGCTGCACAAGAAAGCTCAAGCCTCTCTGAAATCGGGACTCGACCTGAAAGCTGTGGTCCAGCTTCCCCCAGGGGAGAACATCAACGACTGGATCGCGGTGCACCTTGTGGACTTCTTCAACAGGATAAATCTCATCTATGGGACCATGTCAGAATTCTGTACCGAGAAGAGCTGCCCCATCATGTCGGGTGGCCTCAAGTATGAGTACCGGTGGCAGGATGACTACCGCTACAAGAGGCCCACCAAACTGTCGGCACCCCAATATATGTGTATGCTGATGGACTGGATCGAGACCTTAATTAATAATGAGGACATATTTCCTACCAGGATAGGTGAGTAGGCAATGGGTACTGCATATTCAGGGTCAGACTCTTTGTCCATCCAGTTCAATATACAGTGGTACCTTGGTTCTCAAACACCTTGGTACTCAAAGAACTTGGAACCCAAACACTGCAAACCCAGAAGTAAGTGTTCCGGTTTGCAAACTTTTTCTGGAAGCCGAACATGCTCCATTTTGAGTGCCACACTTCCATTTTGAGTGTTAAGCTGAGGTCTGTCTGTTTTTCTCTATTTATTTTGCATTTTTGTTTTTGTGGCTCTTTTTTGTTTGTTTTTGTGACTGTGTGGAACCCAGTTCAGCTACTGATTGATTGATTGATTGATTGTGTGACTGCAGTACATTGTTTATTGCTTTCAATTTATGGATCAATGGTCTCCTTAGATAGTAAAATTTGTGTTAAGTTTCTGTTTTAGGGGTTGTTTTTAAAACTCCGGAACGGATTAATCCATTTTGCATTACTTTCTATGGGAAAGTGCGCCTTGGCTTTGGAACGCTTTGGTTTTGGAATGGACTTCTGGGACAGATTAAGTTTGAAAACCAAGGTACCACTGTACTATCAATTGGCCATGGCTCCCAGGCGTTGCTGCTCATCTGGCCTCTGGTTGGTCACATTGCTGCTGCTCAACAGGATGGGGAGGGGCAGGGGGGGCAGTGAGGTCAGTGGCGCAGTGCAAATGCACTGGTGTGATTGGCTCTGTTGGTGTGTTCTCAGTTCACTGACCTTAACTGCCACCTCCCCCATCACCTCCTAGCAGACCAGCACAACCGACGGTCAGGTGAGGGCAGTGGTGTCCCCACCACACTGTCTCCTACTAGTTTTTCCCAGATATGCAACTGATCCTTTTAACTGGAGATGCCAGAGATTGAGGCTTCTGCACGCAAAGCATATGATCTGCCAATTGAGCCAGGGCCCCTATTACCGTATTTTTCGCTCTATAAGACGCACCAGACCACAAGACACACCTAGTTTTGGGAGGAGGAAAACAAGAAAAAAAATATTCTGAATCTCAGAAGCCAGAACAGCAAGAGGGATCGCTGCACAGTGAAAGCAGCAATCCCTCTTTCTGTTCTGGCTTCTGGGATAGCTGTGCAGCCTGCATTCGCTCCATAAGATACACACACATTTCCCTTTACTTTTTAGGAGGGAAAAAGTGAGTCTTATAGAGCAAAAAATATGGTAATTCTTTCTAAAGATACAAGGCAGGTGAAAGGCTTGCTGCCGCCACCAAGAGCCTGTACTGCACTCCCTACTGCCCTTAAGGCTGCAGTCCTATGTTCACTTATTTGGTAGGACCCTGGAGGCCAGGGTTCAAATCTCCACTCAGCCATGAAGCTCATTGGATGACCTTGGGCCAGTCACTGCCTCTCAGCCTACCTTGCAGGGTTCTTCTGGGGATCAAATGAGGAGGGGAAGTACCATGTATGTCACCTTGAGCTCCTTGGAGAAAAAGATGGGATATACACGCAAGCAGTGAAAAAAATACATAAATAGGAAAGTTCATTGAACTTACAGTGGAACTATTAATCTAGTTTTGGCCTATGTGCAATCTCATTTTCTCAAATATTAATACAATATTGCCTATATGGTCATTGTAAGGTGAAGTGATAGTGTAGGGCAATTTTGCTCTGCCTGCTGCAAGCTGTGGGAACAGGCGTTTTTCAAATAATAGCAAGGTGTTGCTATGGGTCATCCTAAAATGAAGCAACTGTGCAGGGCTCATTTGCATTGCTGTAATCTTCCTGCATGTTGTGGGATGTGACTATGTGATGGTTTCCACAGAAACATGATGTTGAATCCCATACTATTGAAATGAATGGACCTACGTAGCTTAGTCATGTTCATTCATTTAAATGGGCCTACTGTGAGTAAGGGACGCAGGTGGCACAGAACCTAGGCTTTGCCAATCAGAAGGTCGGCAGTTCAAATCCCCACGGCAGGGTGAGCTCCCGTTGTTCCCTCTGCCAGTAAAGCGAGATGAGTGCCGCAACCCCAGAGTCGTCCGCAAATGGTCAGGGGTCCCTTTACCTTTACTTACTGTGAGTAAAACTTAGTTGAATACCATCCTTACTTTTGAATCCACCTGCCTAGGATTGCATTGTACTGTTGACTATTTGCAGTTTCCATTTTCAGTCCCCAAGGCCCTTTTGCAAAGATGGCAAAGGATTTGTGTGTAGTGTGGGGGAAGGATAATATGATGCCTTTTGGGTTATTCTCCCGTTGTAACCACTTTGACACAGCATGTTTCTAGTTGTTTTTGCAGCTGGCTGGTTTCGTCAAGGCTTGCTTGTGTTATTGCCACCCCATCTCCTTTCAGAATTAATGCTGTGCAACAATGTGCAGCTGTTCTTGTACCATTCCCATTAAGTGCTGGTTTAAAACACACACACACACTCATAAGGAGAGGCTGTTAACAATGCCCATGTCTCACGGGGTTTGGAAAAAAAATTCACTGTATATGTGCCGTTGTTTGGGATAATTGCTAATTCCTACAATTACTTTGTAGTGATTAATAATAAGGAATCCCATTACCAGGCTTCATTTGAACGCATCGGGGGGACAAAATCTTGGCTTGGAGAGACAAATCCTTTAACATTCTGTCCTGTAATTTATTTGCTCTTAATGCCTCTCATTTATAATGCATTAATACACCACTTCTCATTATTTCCTTGTTGGGTTAAGTGATGCTGTGTGAAAGCATCTGTCTTCGAAAGAGAACTCCCCATCCAACCAGTACCATTCTGTTACCCTGTTCCATGTGTGAACGTGGTGGTAGACGGACAATAGTTTCTTTCAGAGGATGATACGATGGAGGCATTGCTCCCTATTGTAGGCACACTCATCCAATTACCATCTTTCTTTGCAGGTGCTTTAAAAAAAGTATACAAAATCTGATTGACCAGAGATGACCAGAGTGAGACAGAACCGACTTTCACAGAGAATAAGGTTCTCAGTGGCTACTAGGCCATAATGACTATTCTCTGCCTCACTGGTAGGAGGCAGTATTGCTTCTGAATAGCCAGGTGATGGAAACCACAGGAAGAGAGAGTGTATAGGATGCAGGTTACTCACGGGCAGCTGGCTGGCCACTGTGAGAACAGAGTGCTGGGCTAGATGGACCACCACAGGAAATTCAACAAGTTAAAAATAATATATTTTTTTTGCCCTTATGGGAAACTTCATTTCATGATGGAAATCGTTGCCCCAAAACACAATCTCAGTATGACATCTAGCCAAACAACCAGGTGGCAGGATCTAGAAAACCTATTAACTTCCAGGTGAACCTGGAGTTGGCTGGTCAACCACTAGCTGAATTTCCTGAGCAGAATGGTTGTGGGTGGCCAGCAAACCATCATACATCAAAAAGGATGTCTTGCTTATCAGATTTCCACCACACTTCCTGGCTCGAGGGAAGCCTTTATCTGCATCCAAGCCACCATGCCAGGCACTTCCTGCCTGCTCATCTACTGTTGACAGTTTGCTTCTTGCGTTCACAATGTATGGCAGAAAGGCCTCTCACTGGAATAGAGAAGTCTAGAATGATGTACCAAAGCTCACTATAAAGTTCTGAAACTTGAATAACTTTTCACAACTGTGCATAATTATTCATTCATTGGGGGGAAACTGTTATCTATGGAGATTAGAGTTAATAAATAGTGGCCAACAGGGGAGGGTGGCCAGAGCTGCCTTGCCCCTCCCCATGGCAGTGACATGCAGCATTGAGAAGTCAGGTCTCCAAACTGCTACTCACATCAGTGTATTTTCAGCATACAAAGTGCTGTTCAGCTGTTATTTCATCTTTACACTGTACAGTGTAAGAGAAATCAAGCTGGGGACCGCAGGCCATGTAGCAGTGGCACAAGCATGTGGCGGGCGTGTGCCTATTTTAAAGAGACACTGTCCAGAAACTGATCCCCCAGGATGTAATATGGACTTTATGAGCCCACAATTTGACAAGACTAGTCTGGTATTCAAATCTAGTGCCTATAGCAGCGTATGCACATGCGAAAATGGTCTGGACTCCAACAGAGCCTGACTAGACTTTTTTCATGGCAACTAGAGCATCAGAATGACTGTGGATGGATGAAAAGAAGCCTTTCTGATTCTTTAAATGAGCATTTGCACTCTCCACTTTTAATTCAAAGTGCTTTCAGTTTGTACTCTCAAGAGGAAGAACAATCCTTGAGTGTCCTGGAGCAGCCGTCTCAAGGTTTTTGTAGTTCTGTGATTCTGTGATTCTGCTGTAGTTATTTCTACTCTACAAGCCACAGCAAAAAGAGCTTTTAAGCTCCAGACAGCACGACAACAGCACTTGTTGACTTCCCAGTCATTAGCGCATCTGAAACCTGCATGTCTTATTGCAGGTGCAACTTCGTGTCTATGAATCCTGCCAACAACTCCAGACTTCATTAAAATCAGGTGCATAATTGGCTCATTAGGCTTGTCTTCAGACTCTGGAATGCATTTGTGGGAAACACGGACGAGCTGAGACCCGCTTGAAAATAAAATGTAACTGCCAGACCCCTTAATTGTTTGTGGTTATTCCTCTTTTCATCTGTGCAGTGTGCATGGCAATGGAACACATGTGGTGGATCATTTAGGGGGCTGTTTCATCTGTTTCCCATTACTGTGATCAAGTTGTATATAGTTGTTTTTATGAGACTGCTAACAGAGTGCCGCTCCAGACAGTGCTAAGGATATCCTGTAGCTCCCCCTGCAGGTCTAGTGTGGTTTCATGTATTCAGTAAACACTCAAGCAGTGGTTTCCAAACTCCCCGCCCCTTGTCCCCTTCTATGGACCACTATAAAATTGCTGTGGGTCTTGGTGGACCACTTACTGACGTTTTTGAAGCCCTATACAGTGGTACCTCAGGTTATGAACTTAATTAGTTCTGGAGGCTATTCTTAACCTGAAACCGTTCTTAACCTGAGGCGCGCTTTCGCCAATGGGGTCTCCTGCTGCCGCCTGCGCAAGATTTCCATTCTCATCCTGGGGCAAAGTTTTCAACCCGAGGTACTACTTCCGGGTTAGCAGAGTTTGTAACCTGAAGTGTTTGTAATCTGAAGTGTTTGTAACCCCAGGTACCACTGTATAATATATTTTTTCTGAATTGAAAAACTACAAACATGTTCAAACCCCCCACTCAGCCATGAAGTGCATCGGATGACCTTCTGCCAGTCATCATCTCTCAGCCTAGCCTACCTCACAGGGCTGTTGTGAGGTTAAATGGGGAGGGGGATAATCATGCATGCTGCCTTGAGCATCTTGAGGCCTAAATGTGAAAATAAATAAATAAGAATAAAAGGAAGGATGCACAGATGCAAGGCCCTAAATAGAGCCTAATGTCCCACAGTAGTATTGAAAGCTCTAAACACTCCTCCCCCCCCTTTGTCTTGCAGGTGTTCCTTTCCCCAAGAACTTCCAGCAGGTCTGCACCAAGATCCTCACCCGCCTCTTCAGAGTCTTTGTCCATGTCTACATCCACCATTTTGACAGCATCATCAGCATGGGTGCCGAAGCTCATGTCAACACCTGCTACAAGCACTTTTACTACTTTATCAGCGAGTTTAGCTTGGTCGACCAAAGGGAATTAGAGCCTCTGGTAAGAACATAGGTACTGTTATTATGCACCCTGCTTCTGATTGGTAGTGATACCTTTTGGATGAGGGAAGAGCACTGGAGACTTAAAGTGTTCCAAAAACTCTTTAAGTTTGCACTGCGAACTACACGTAAGCGCTCCTTTAGGTGGCCAGGAGGGCTGTCAGCATCTCCAAGCTCTTATGGAGATCACATTCCAAAGGCTTGAAAGAGATTCCCAGCTGTCAGGAGACTGCCCTGTTGTTTTTTTAAACAGAGTTCAGAGCAGAGTGCTGGCCAGGCAACCTTAAGAAGAATGCCATATGTGTATGTGCATCACATCAACTATTTCACACTATAAACACAAATTTTCCACTGTCTAGGAATTATTCTTAGAAGGCTCCATTTAAGAATCACCTAGGATGGATGAACCAATGACGATGATTAGCGTTTTGAACTGTTTTTAATGGTGTGTTTTAATTGTTGTAACCTACCCTGAGACCTTAGGGTGAGGGTGGGTAATAAATTGTAATAAATTAATGGTATGCACAAGCGCCATGATTGTTAGCAGCCGAATCCTGATCTCTCTAAACTTTGGCAATATAGTCAAAATTAGTCACTTCTTAACAGATGAGGGAATGGGTACAATGTTTCACATCCATAAGAGCAGCTATAATTCAGCTGACCCTAAAAGGTAATTAGAGATCAGGAAACCGAAGAGGCTGAGAAGAACCAAAAAAAAAATAAAATCGATTCTAATCCACTTCCCTCCTTCCTGCTGCTTCCCTTAAGACATAATAAGAGGAAGTTTCTCCCCAATTGTCCTTGCAAAGTGACAATAACTCCCAGTTAGTGTTGCTTGCTGGCCGTGTTTCCGAGTGTGAATTTATATGCCTCTGACCTTGTACCGTCTTTTCCAACCATATATTCTGGAAAGAATATATGGATTTATCTTAATTTCCAGTACTGGGATATTATAACATGCACAGCTGATTCCCACTTTCAAAGTGATCCATGTGCAGCAAGCATTGTCTGTCTAACACATTCACTATGAAATTGATAGAATCCTAGAATTGTAGAGCTGGAAGGGACCACAAGAGTCATCTAGTCCAACCCCCTGCAATGCAGGAAGCGTTTGCCCGATGTAGGGCTCAAACCCACAACCCTGAGATTAAGAGTCTCGTGCTCTACCAGCTGAGCTATCTCAGTCGTGTAACACAATCACAAAAGATCATTTCCCCTCTGTCAGGAGTCATGATTATATTATTATGTATGCTAGTGAGCAAGGATACTGAAATGTCCTCAACTAACAAGTAACCATCCAATATGGTATTGACATGAAATGTACTATCATCGCTAAGTCAGGAATGTAAACCAGAATAATAAACCATGGTAGTGCAAACCATGGTTTTCCTAACTATGGTTTCAGGTGCTCTCTGAATTGACAAACTATAGGCATAGCTACGTCTCTAAATGATATTGCAGCATGGAGACAGAGCTTATGGCCTCTTATGACCTTGAGGAACCATGTGAGCTTATGAATAAGAGGAAGAAAAGTGAATCCTTGTTTTTAGCATCAAACTTCACTTCATTTCACAAAGGTAGATGAAAGATTTCCTTTTTTTGAAATCCAAAATTCTTCCTGGCCCTGGTGGTTGTGGGTGAAATGCTAGATCAGCATGAAATGGAAGCACCACATCCCAGAGGGTAGGTGAGACTTCAAGAGATTGGAAGGCTTCTGAAATCTGGGCATCAAGCGACTCCATGTCTCTGCAGTCCTTTCCCCTCAATATCTTATGTCATGCATTCTTTAAGGAAAGGGGAAATAACAGATGCAATTCAGCTGATAATAACCTCAAATTATGTCATTATTTCTCCATTTCACAGAAGGGAAAGTAGAGTTGAGATAAAGTGACCTCTTCAAATCTCTGTCTGTCTGTCTGTCTGTCTGTCTGTCTGTCTGTCTCTCTCTCTCTCTCTGTGTGTGTGTGTGTGTGTGTTTGTTTCATGGCTAGATTCTCCCCCATCAATTTACCGGCTTTGGACTACTTTAAATTAAACATTCTGGGCTTCTTTTTCAGAACTGAGCCTCTAGATAATTTCCTTCATTCTACTTGGTTGTATAAAATGAATGGCTTTACTCTCTTGGCCTGAGACTAATTTTAGAGATGTGTCTCCTAAGGAAACAATACAGTAATTTGTTTTGCTAGGGTAAAACAGATTTGTTGCAACAAGTAATAACATTGGCAAAGCCTTGGATTATTTCTGGGAAAGACAGGAGCTGCTGTGGGGACCTTCTCAGCATAATGAATGTTGTCTGATGTAGAGATGGGTCACTGTTTGTGTCAGGAAGAAAAATTGAAGGACTTAAACAAGCTGATGTGGAGGTGGTACCCAGAAGGTAGGAGAAAGTGTGAACAAAAGGTGGGGAAATGGGAAATCTGAAGTGTGAAAATAAAGGTAGAAAATGAAGCAGCATCAGAAGCAACTGAATTTTCAGACTGGCTTTCACTATAAGCCAACAACAACAACAACAACAACAACAACAACAACAACAATATGCTTGAATAATTATTATTGGCTTAAAGTGAAAGCCTGTCTGAAAATTCAGCTGCTTCTGAGCCAGAGTAGAGAGGCATGATTTTCGCACACACACCCTGCCGGGCCTGCGCCCTTAGTTGGGGCCAATGTAGCCAACCCCTTGATATGCCCCTGCTTTCCTCGGCACAAATCTGTTGCTTTTGTTTCGGAGATTATTTAGTCTTTGCCACACACACACACACACACACACACACACACACAGCTGCATGCGTACACACTCGCTCACACATATTCCTCACTAAAAAATGAGTGGGAGATGAATACTTGCAAATAATATATTTCAACTCATTTTTTTAAGTTTTCAGATCTGTGGGCGGAATGACTAGGCTGTGGGGGTGGGAAATATTGTCTTAACAGAGGCGTTAAGAGATCTTGATTGGAAAAGCAGAAACTCTCACTGTGTTCCCCAGGCAGACAGAATCCTGGAATTGATGTTTCTGTTTTTTTGTTATCCTTCAGAACTTGAAGATGGTCATGAATGTTTGGACTGCACAGGCAAATGTTACATAATAGAACATGTTTTCAGTTTTCATTTAGCTTAAAACAAGAATAAGCCCACTAGCTAGAATGGGACTAATACAAACCAAGTGCATTCAAGATGTTAGCGACTTGTCTTTTCTAGCTTCTCATGCTGTGGGCTTCTGCTTCCAGGGCTTAACCCTTTGTCCTCAAATCGAAGCCTTCTTCAAAAGAATCTATTTGGCACCAGCTGGCATCACCTTTTCGTATGTGTTTGGCTGTTTCTCCACCCCTCCTGCTGCCCTTACTAACTCTATTGTGGCAATTCATAGATGGTCTGACGTATTTTCAAAGTGTTGTATCCAACACTACTGTTCCGCTCACGCAGCAGAATTCTGTTTGTGCAATTGAACTTCCCCCTCCTGTCCCCTGCAGCCCTATGCACATGCTCAAAATCTGCACCAGAGAGTTGGGGGACCCGCCGGAGTGGGTCTTGTGGGAGCATGGGGGAAACACTGTTGCACATGTGGACTTCTGCTTGTGCAGTGTAGAATGCAACCCAAGGACTGTGTGGTTCAGATTTGCTCATTCCTACTTCCATCGGCATTTGGAATGTTTGTGACAACAAAGAAAATGCCAGCTTATGAGCATGGCAGAAAACCCAGGAAACTGGTTTGTCATGACCATGGATGCCCCAGGAACAGGACTGAAACCTGGAGGTCTAAAAAGCTGTTGGCAAAATGGCTTTCAAAGAGCCCCGCGCTGAGATTTGGCTCTGCGAGCCTGTTCCCAACATGAAACAAGCATGCACAGCCAAACTGAGCAGGATTTAACCCCTGCCCATCAGCTGCTGAGCAGGAGTTAAATCCTACTGCTATGGCTGCATGCATGATTTACCAGAAAGGGAAGAGAATCAACTGCTACCAGCCTGCTAGCCACTGAGGTCACCCACCCTTGGAGTGAAATCAGCTGATTGGCAGGTGGGTGTGATTTCTTTAAAAATGACCTTACAAGCCAAATTTGACCACCTGTCAGGCCAAGACTGGCCCACAGGTTGAAGGTTCCTCACTCCTGATTTAGACAAGTGACTGATCACATGCCACAACAATGCATTTATATTGGTGCCTCTATTACTATGGATTTGTGTCTGGTGAATTCACATGAGCAGTTCACCTGGTGATTATCAGATGATAAGCTTTCATTGAGTTGTGTAAGCTTCTCTTTCAATACTGTACCGTTCAAATATCATAAAAAGACTCTCTCCATTGTCATTCACAAATGACATTTCTTCCCATGCTCCTCAGTCCTTTGCACATAAAACACATGGCTATATAAATCCAAACTCAGGAGCTCTTTATATGTAAATGTCACTCACCAGTTCAACCTCTTTTCTTCTTGCCAAGTGATATTTGATAGGATGCTGTTTTTAACTCCCTTTTACACATATTGTGCATATTTCCTTTTGTTACCTATGCTTTCTTCATGGTATTAAAGGAAAACAGCGAAGATGTCGAAATTGGATTCTTTTCAGACCCAACACAACCCTTTGTGGATTATCAGCTTCTGTTGACCCTTTTGGTTATCACCAAGGCAACTCAAAGAGACACTGAAATTCTGCCCTATTTTTTGCTTCCCGTGTCTTGCTTCAGAATCTTATTTCTTTCAAACCTAAACGCTTTAGGCTGTTTTAAGTTGAAATCAATTTAGAAATGTAATAATGTCTACCAAGAAAAAAAACCCACTGCATTGTCTCAGATTTCTTACAAAACGTTAAGAGTTTATTGTGAAATAAGTGAAGGGGGATTTATTTTATTTTATTTTTTATGCAACAGATTAATCCAGAATCTTGAGTCATATATTTCCCCTGGATTAACTGACACATTCAATGAAATATTGCAAACATCCATCAGTTCAAACTGATTTAATTTAATCAGTCTGGAATATTGTGCATTGGTTGAAATCATGAATTTATTTAGGTGGTGAAGGGCAAGTTCCTTTCCCTCCTATGTGCAGTATGGGGATACAAAAGGAACCCTTCTATCAAAGAAACAGTCTGTTGGGGGAAGGGAACCTTTGCACCTAATTCATGCTATATGCTGAAGCAGCATAGGCTGTCCTTAACAGCAGTGTGTTGACTTCCCACCCTGGGACCCTGCAGTTGGCAATAACTTCTGTCCATTTATCTTGAGTATGGTGGTAGAGAATGTGATGGCAGAGCAGTTGCAGCAGTTCTTAAAGGGTATGGACTCGCCGGGTTCAGCCGTGGTTTTGAGACTGAATTAGCTTTGGCTAATGGATCACCTGCATTGAGAAAATGCAAAGCAGGGGTCTGTGAGTCTGCTCTTGCTTCTTATTCTGTTGGCAGCTTTTAATACTGTTGAGCAAGGTATCCTCCTAAGACGTGCTTTGTGGGTTGAGTATCAGAGGCACTGTTTGATACCAGTTAGAAATTAGAATAATTCAGGGGTATAAAAATGAAATAAACATACATACATACATACATACATACCAGTACATACTGCACAGGGGACCCTCAGTGGTAGGGTTGGACATCCACTGATAATGTTTATAGACTGTTCACATTTTGGAATCCCCTCTCCATCAAAATATATTTTGGGAAGAAGGCCTAGCTGTCTGACCAATTAAATATTGTTTCAGTTTGGGGGGGGGATATGTTGGGGGTGTGGGTTGGAGTAGGCTCCCGTAGGCAGCAAAGTGTGCCAGCAACCATGCTTTTCAAATGGACCCCTAGAAAGTTGGACTACAAAACAGATTCTTTGTTTGGTTGTAGAAATGCAGCATATTCAGATAAATTTTAAGACTTATTGCCTGGAAGATGGTATAAAACACCTGCCACATTTTTTTTTTGGATCCTATCTGCTATGAAAGCTAAAATTACTGTGTAGAATAATAAAAGGATATAGCTATTACTATGCATTAGTAGGCTATTTTCCACTTTTGTATGCAATGATTAAATACCCTGGATTATAACACGGTAACAGAAAGCCTCTTGATACCGTACCCATTCTGCGTCACTGATGGGATGAGTGGCTAGACCATCCGTAATCACTTTCAAAGGTCCCAACCCTATGAGAGATTCAAGGTCCTTTGTATACCTTGTTGAATCATACGGTTGTTTTCCTAAAGGTTTTGTGGACACAGACTTCTTCTTCCCCCAAAAAAAATTACATTTCTTTTCTTTTTCCCCTCACAGAAAGAAATGACAGAAAGGATTTGCCATTAAGATCATCCGGGCATCATTTGAACGGACAAACTGTCCTCATGAGGGCCTCACACGGTGATCTGAACGACTACTGCTGGGAATATGAGGAACTTTGTGTTCCAGGGACTGAAACGTTTGGAAATAGTGGACCCCAGTACGTCCAGTAGACATATGGACCCAATAACATTATGTTCCTGCCTCTTGTACTCTTCCCCAGTGGCTGTAGCTGTGTGTCATTTTGGTTTCATTTTGTCCTCCAGAGACCCACCTCCTCCTAAGTTGTTTCGCACTTTTTTGAAGCGCAAAGAGGGAAATAACCTGAGAATTCCTCCACCGAGACCCGAAGAAAAATGATGAATGTATTCCACACAGAAGACTACGTTCATCCCCTTTAGTCTATCAAAGTGAAGATGGTTCACAAGCAACATGCCCTGCCTTGTACTGCATTGGGGGGAAATGGTTCACTATCACCCTACCCTCCTCCATTATTATTTTTAATGAGCTACTGATTATTCCTCTCTATATATGCTTTCGTCAGGAGAACCAGAGATGCTAGGAAGATACCAGACCACTGGGAATGCTGGATTGGAAGAACATTTCCCCCCAGTAAGATGTAATTTGTAGAAAATAATATTAGTATTAGAACTGAGTGGAATGAAACAACAATTTGCTTCAGTTTTTCCTCAGCTTACAGAGCATCCACACAACAGCCCACATGCAAATATTTGCAGTCCAGTACATCAAAAACAGAAGGCAGGAGCATCCCAGTAAGGTGCCAGCAGAACACATCTCTTCAGGTTGCACAAGTAAATGAGCCACTGTGTGTGCTGAGGGGGAAACAAGCCCTACGAAGACTGATACCAATCCCCGAAATGGAATCAGTGCCATAAAACAATCAACAGTTGCTAAAGAGAATTGAAGTTATGGAGCATGGAGCATGCAGATCTTGTACTTTTGAGGAACTTTGATGCATTTTTTTAAACTATAGAAAATACAGACGCTTTAGAAGGAGTCAAATTAATGGTTCCTCTAGCCCAAGACTCCCAATCCCGGCTGGTGGTGACTTGACAGCTATTTACGATACTTTAGCTGCAACCCTAAACGCACTTTCTAGAAGATAGCCCCCCCCCCTGAACACAGGGGCATTATTTCTGAATAAGCATGTATAGAGCTGTGCTATTTAACTGGAGGTGCCAAGAATTGAACCTGGGATTTTCCTACATTCAAAATGTGTGGTCTACCACTGAGCCATGAGTCTTCCTTCCCCATAAAACCCAGTGATCATTTCCCCATTGACTGCGACTTTCTTCTTTTGAGAAGGGAGGGAACAATATTTTTTCTTCACTTTTTTCCTTAAGTGACCTGAGCCACTTGCATCGATGAGTTTTATTAGTCAAGATTTTATACTTTCTACAACAATATTTATATCTTGGGTTGTCCTACTTTTTCTGCCAGTGAAGTTTAAATATTAAAATTGCACAGATATTTTTTTTGAACTGACAGCACTTATTTGTGACATTTAAAATCCTTATGCTATATTTTCTCCAGGTAAGCAAGCAGATAAAGAAAATCATTACTTATTTGTGTCATGAAAAACCTGTATCTTATATGTGTCTTCTCCCAATAAGAAAAAAAAGGGATGCAAGGAGATAAAGACCAATGCATACCAGTGCTACCACAATAATTTCTGCTAAGAAAAGAAAAACTAAAGTGTTAGATGTTCTTATTCATAGTTCTTTGGTATTTTCCCTGGCTTTAATTTTTTCAACAGCTTCACCACCCAAAGGTCATTGTCAACTTTTTTGTCGACCGCCATTCCATCCTTCGTTCTTTCATGAGAGTGTTGAGATGCTTAAAAATATTTGTGCTGAAACTGACATAACCTAATCGGCCTAGTGATAATGTGGTTTGAGTTATTTGTTGTGTAACCCTTCAACATGCTTTCGGCAGACATGTTCTGAAGCAATCATAGATCTTCTGTTCTCTAGGGATTCACTGATCCTCGCTACGGATTCTTGATAAGCCACCCAAAATGGCATCATGGGTTTCTCTTGACAATGTCATTTCCCATAGACAGGGATGGTTATTCTTTTTCAGCCTTAAGGTGTTATTGGTATGATGGCATTACTGGAAATCAGCCACTTCTCCAAGGGCCACAAGACAGTGGAGGGTGTGCCAAACATATATTACGTGTGTATGCATGTGCCCTCACCACATATACAGAACATATTTAGACCACAAAGAAATACACTCACCATGCACTATTCACTTTCTCTCTCAAATGCTGAGAAAGGTATTTCAGTAAGACAGAGCTTACCACCACCACCACCAACAACAACAACTGCAGCACTGTGATGAGGAGGGGGACACAATCTTTTTCACTACAGCAAGAAGTGAGATGCTGTCCAACGGTGCCTCTTCCTGACCTTTCAAAGGCACGTCTTCTTCCTCTTGCACGCCTAGTATATGGTTGCTCAGGAAACAGGAAAGACCACTCCTTTGGAAGATACCCACTTGGATGGGGCATTAGTGGGCAATTTGAGGGTGCTTGGCAGGTCTGAGCCAACCTATAGGCTGTGGACTTGCCACACCTGTTGAAATCTGAGTTGATAAGTGGTTTGTTTCAAACAGGAAAATGGTTAATACAGAGTTTGCTGCAACACATACACAACCCACCAACTCTTCTCCCAATTAACAGATACTTATTACAGGAAGAGGACGCGGGTGGCACTGTGGTCTAACCCACAGAGCCTAGGGTTTACCGATCAGAAGGTAGGCGGTTCGAATCCCCGCAATGGGGTGAGCTCCCGTTACTCGGTCCCTACTCCTGCAAACCTAGCAGTTCGAAAGCACGTCAAAGTGAAGTAGATAAATAGGTACCACATGACCTGGAAGCTGTACGCCGGCTCCCTCGGCCAGTAAAGCAAGATGAGTGCCCCAACGCTAGAGTCGTCCGTGACTGGACCTAATGGTCAGGGTTCCCTTTATTCTTATTACAGGAAGAGAATCACTCTCACTTGCTTGCTGTTTCTCTAGTAAGGTCACAAAAGAAATATGAAATGAAACGAAAAAAGCTCCTCAAAGTAGAAAACACTCCATGTTGCTTCTCTGACCTTCAGAGAAACAGCTCTGAGCATTCTCAGAACTAGCGCATGCTTCTGACTGTATGATGCTACTACAGTGGGCAGTTTTTGAAACAGTCCTGACTCTTCCCATACCTGCTATAGTAGCTGTGCTGGACAGGCCTCCTAAGAACAGCTTTCTGGCAGCCCAGTCAGTCATATGGGTTTTTCTGCTTAGAGACACATGGAAGGAACCTCTTTGTCATATTTGTCATAATCTGTCATACTTTGGGATTACGATTAGCTGTGAAGAGAGCTGATTGACCAGAGAACAGTAGATGGATAGAAATGTTTGCAGAACTTCTCTGAGCTCAAATAGAATTATAAAATGTGTGTGGCACAATAAATAGTGTGTAGCTTTGAGATTTTGTGGGGGATTTTAAAAAACATTTCTTGTCATTCTTCTTGGGAAGACTATGCCCTAGTGGACCAGCCTCCACTGCTTGTATCTGCCCTGTTGTTTCTTGTGGAATAGTGTGGTTTGATGTGTTTTCCCCAAAACCACATTCAATCCAAGTTATGGAAAAGAATGACCTAACTGCATTTTAAGCCAGCAATGTGTAGACAATAACAGTGTTGTGCAGGTGTGTTTTACAGAACCCTGACTTTAACCATTAGTGTTTTATGACCTAGTTACAGCAATCCAAAGGTATCACATTGGATGAACTAAACTACTAGACCTGGGTGTTGCTGTAGGAGGACAATTCTGATTCATTATAAACAAGCTAGATTACCTGACTTCCTAGTTTTCCAGCTCTACCATTCCATAAGTCTGTTTATCAATGTCAGTGGGAGAAAAGCGAAATGCTTTTTTTGAAAACGTATCATACTTTCCCTTGGTACAGACATGTTTCAGCATAATTGGCTCAGTCCTTAACTCAAAATGTGTCATCCTAAATTGCATTGGACGTCTATGGTTATATTGATTGGGAACCATTTTTCCCTCTTCATGTTCTGTGCCTTCCCACTGAGACTTTGTTTATGAGGCTTGGGTGCTGATACGATCATTTTTCTTGCACCATTTATCAGCAACTACAGATAATATAGTGTTATAAATTTCTTTGTGTATCTTGACAGAAGTGCTTTGATGCAAAGGGGAAAGCTGACATGTAGATTTTAAGCAAGGAAGCTTCTATTTGAGCAACTGGAAAAGTTCTGACTTGGTTTGTAAGTCTCCATAAAAACATCACCCACACACCCTGACCACAACTACAATTCCCATTATATCTGACACTTGGGTATGCTGACTGCGATTGATGGGAGTCAGACCCCCAACAACATTTGGAGGACCACAGGCTCCCTACCCTGCAGCAGGTAGCATGGATAGAAGATAAAAAGAATCTGCTTGTAGATTGCTGGATGATTTGAAGTAGATGAGCAAGGGATCTGAACTCCCAGTGGTCTAGTAACAGCAGCAACAAAAGACTCTTTAGCCTGCAATGTAGGCTGTTAGACTCTCCTATCTATAGCAACTCAGATGTAGGCCGTTCCAGTGTTAGTCTCATGAAAGTAATTGGCTCTAGCCTCTACACTACCATTTTCCAGGTGACCCCACTCCCTATTTTGTGATGGGTGACTCTCCCTTTAGTAGACTTTGCAGTTCTTGGAAAAACCCAAAGTAGATTCCCTAAAGCCTGAAATCTGCCCACGCCTAGCCTATAGGATTCCTTGAGTCTCTCTCATTCTGTGATGCCAGCAGAACTTATTTGGGACTATACATTATATAACCATATACATAACCATATATTTCTACTTTTGTCCCAATAAATTCCTGTGTCTGAGAAACGTTTTTCTGTACCTTGTCTTCTAAAGCTCTGAATGCTTCCTCCTTCTGAATTTTCTTATCTAACTGCATGTCACTCCATTCATAAAGCTAGGTAAGAGTCTGCAGTGAGCGCATTCTGTTGTTTGCAGGATGTGCTTACACAACAGACCCTGCTTCACATTTCTTTGTGCTTCCACTCCTGCCTCAGCATCATCCACTTCCTGTTTAACTTCCTCCCTTCTGCCTTTAACCAGGTCACTTTAGCAACCTTTGTCCACACCCTTCTTCAAATAAAAAAGGGCAATTGCCACTTTCACTCTGGTGGAGTCAGTTGGAAATGTTTTAGGAAGAAATGCGCTATTGCAGGTTGGGGAGCTCTATGCTGAGTGGGGAAAACACTGTTGCACAGGTCAAATCACGGCAGAACACTGCCTTGGAGTGTTTTCTGCTAAACTCTGCATATGAAGCTTTACGCAGCACCTTTCAAAAAACTTTCAGCGTTCATTTATGCTGGCTCCGAATCATGTGTTTCTATTTCTTTGCAATTTCTTGAGCGCTTTCGCCCTCTGGCATCACCACACCTGGATAATACTGTAAATAATAGTGTCAGTTTAAGTAGCCAATTTAAAACCTGGGCCACCATATGCAAAGAATGTATGGAACTTAAGTAGCGCTGCTTTGTGCCTGTAGTATTTTGGATACACAATACAACAACTTGAGACTTGCAGAAGGTTCCTTTTAGGCTGCAGGTGACTGGTTGTGGACGGCACTAAGCACTATTTTCATATTACTACTTTTTCTAATGTGTTATATTAAGATTGCAATAGGGAAATGTTTTTAACATCAGAACTAGGCTAGATTAATGCTGCAAAATATAAAATCAGTCTAAAGTTTCTTAATACTGTAATTCTTGGAATCGGCTTTTGAGCATTTGTGTGTACATATACACACATGCGTCTGATAGCGGCTGTTCATGGCTAAAATGGAGTGGTTACATGGATGGCTTTTGGAAAATACTGCAGACCTTTTCAGAAGGTTTGCCCAGGACCAGTCCATGAGGTAAAGAACACTCAATCCTTAGAGAGGTCTGACTTGCCCTGATCTGGCTGAATAATGGTCACAATCCATAAAACTATAGCTCATTTTTGCCCATGGATGAGATACCTTAGAATGGGCAGGCATCCTTCTGTACAGCTAGGCTGCTTCTACCTCTCCTCTGCACCATTAAGGGATTCCAGAGCAGATCTGTGGGGAGGGGAATGAGGAGAAAGGAAAATCGAACTCTTGTGCAATTTATGGGTTATAGCCAACTAAGTTCTTTTCAGATTAGACCCATTGAAATCAATGGACCTAAGTGAGTCAATGCTATTTATTTCACTGTGCTTCCTTGAGTAGAGCTAATGTTGGGTGCAACCTTACATCTTTTCTTGGCGTTAGTTGCAATGAAACAAGAGGCACATTCTTGCTTCCTCCTTAGGTAAACACTCACGATGGACTTCAGATTTCCTTCGTAATATGAGGATTTAAGTCAATAGAGCTAGTAAGATCATAGCTGACCAAGGATAATAACACAGGCTTGGATTTCCTCCTCCTTTTTTTGTAAGTTAACCCCCCCCCCACATTGATTGGAAAGCCACTTTGGAATTGGTTACTGCCTTCAGCAAAGCCAGCTGTCTTTGTGTCAAATAAAGTAAGAACACATATAGTATCAAGCGATTTATTACACAGGATCTTGACACTAGAGTCACAAGTCTGTCGATTACATTTCTTCCTCTTTAGTTCATAGCAGCTATTTCTGGAAGTGATCTGGTCACATACACCCTGCTGGAAGAGATG